TAATTATATAAAATAATTAACAATTTACCTTTACTTATCAAACATAAAAGGAATAAAACTACTATCCTGAAGCAAATTGAATTTAATCTTCAGGCAGCCAACAAAGCAAAAAATGAAGATGGATGAAGACATAAATATGAAATAAGTTGATCGTTGATTGGTTCATAAAGTTTGGGATATGCAATCAAAAAGAGGCATTGCTTTTGGTTTTTGAACCAGGTTTGAAATCACGATAATGGTCGACCCCAAAACCTAAATTAGGTAAGAATGTTAATACTATTCCATACAGATTTGGTTTACATTATTAAATGTAATCTAATATTTGTTAAACTATTAATAAAAAAAATACATTTTTGTATTATTGCTGTATTGGAATTTGATTTGGCAATTATTAATAAAGCTGGCCCTGGTAATCGATTTGCATACATAATCAGATGTATATTTTGTGAATTTATTTTATTATATTATTATTAATGTACATTACTTGTATATCGAAAATTTTTTTTGGCAATTTTCTAAGACGGCTCTGGAAATTATTAATTTAATAAAGTTATAAGTGGAGTCGATTTACATGATCGTGTTAAGATAGCGAGATCACCAGATCCTCTCTTTATTTCATAAAAATTGTTGCCCAAACGAACAACAATATACAAATAAAAAAATATAAATAAAAAATACAAATACAAACTTTTGAACATATATACATCTTATATAAAACAATGAGAAACTCCAAATCTGAACTAGATTTATTGAAACAGAAGAATGCCAGACTTATGGCTAAAATCGCAAAATTGGAACAGATCGCAAAAGAAAAAAATGAGCTTGAGGTTAGAATCGTGGAATTAGAATGATCTGAAAGAGAAAATATTAAGCTTAGATCTAGGGTTGCGAAATTAGAACAAAAGTTATCACAAAATAACTTACGGAGTAAGGATGCTAGGTAGTCCGAACAGGTAGATACATTCATTCCAAAAGAACAATCTTCGGCTAATATCAGCAATACGGCCAATGCCTCTCGTAGAACGAATTCTGATGATACACCTAAACAGATCGAAATTAATTCTGATAATATATCTGATAACACTTCAAATCCTGATATATGTCATGAGTCTTCATCCCAATATCCTGTGTCATCTATTCGCAAAGAGAGTAAATCATTGGAAGATAAGGTGATTGATGAATTCTTGGATTTGATATATAAAGAAAAGGTTAGTAAAGAGATAATTCAGAAAATTAGGGAGAAGAAACTTCAGAAACAAGAATTTTCCTCTATATTAGTTGAAGAATTATATAGTAAAAAAGTGAAACCAAAAGTCCTACTTGAGCAAAACAGCAAATTGGTGCTGATACAGCCCAAAGAAACAAAAGTTTCATATGATTATATAGTTGCCCACCCAAGTTGTAACCAGACACAAAGTATCATTTCTTCTGAAATAAATATTATGACCGAGCATCAACCCTGCGACTCCGGGTCTCACTCTCATGTAACTGAAATTAAAAATGATTCAATTCAGAAGGATAGCTGAATTGAGATACAAAAATTTATACAAGAATTATATTTGGAACCCATATCAGAAGAATCAATTAAAGTCATTAAAAATAAAGAGCCGAATATATCAGATCACAATGAAAATAACAAACATATTGTTATCGAATTGGCTCATTTATATCAAAAAGCAAGGAAAGCTAAAAAGAATACTATTTATGTTAAGCAAGAAAAAATTTTAAGCTGGTATTATTATGCAGAAGGTTTCGAAAGAAGGGTTAATGATAATTTATCTATTTGCTGAAATAATAAAAGAGCAGATGACTTGGCAAAAATTCAAGTTTATGATGAAATTTGGGATTGTTTTTCTGGCGTCTTACGTGAGAATTTCTGCAAGCAAACTCAAAGAGCTTGTAAGATTTATAAATTATTTAATGGTATAGGAAAGAATAAGATTAAACGGGTTAAATCTTATAGTGCAAATAGAATATCAAAACTTTCTAACTCACAAATTCAATATATTATAGAACATTTTACTAAAAAATCCTGAAATAGTAAGGATACTTCACTTCTAACAAGGTGGAATGCATACTGTGCAACCTCAGGTCTCATCCTTATGTGATTAAATCGTCTGACTCAGATGATTTAGCAGAAAGTGAGGTAAGTGCATCACCTATATTTCCATCTAATCCAACTCGTGATTATGTTTATTTCCATAATAAAATATTAAAGCAATATCCTAATTTATGCCAAGAAGGTAGTGATGGAAATAACAATTATTACAGAATTACTGATAAATTATTATGTTTGCTATGTAAGTTGGATCATGATGATGAAAATGGTATAGAAGGCAGATATAAAATTGGATCTTATAATCTTAAATATGAATAGCATGGAATTGAAATTGAGGTAACAGTATAAACCCTGCCTTCTCGCAATATTTGCTCGAAGCCAGAAAGTAAGTGATCACTATATATACTTGCATTTAAACAGAAACTAATTATTTTTTTTCTTTTTCAAATTTATAAAGCAAGAAAAAAGGTTCTGAGGCAATATTTATTTTTCTCGGCTATTATCAATTTAAAGAGATGTGCAATTATATAACACGGCAACATAAATTCACAAACAAATACCAATAAAATATTAACTCCTGAATATTCAGAGTAGGAAGCTAAATTAACAGAATTACCAAGCATTTTGTCAGATAAAATTTGTTCTAGGTTATATAAAAGATATAAGAATAAAACTGAACTCGATTCTTAGATAAATTTGAAACTTCTAGATCCTCCCAAATCGAAGATAACAAAAAGAAAACAGAGGTACGCATATTACCTATAAACAAAAATGCATCTCTCAATTCTTGTCTTCCAATTTCTATCTTACCCGATGATCCAGAAAAAAAACGAAATCTTGTTATCAAAATAGCTGATTTCAAGCTTATCATATTCGAAGCCAAATCTAATTCAGAGTTAATTATCAAATCCGTTTTAGAGCACTTCCCATACTTGAAATTCTGAAATAGTTTTAGGGAAATTGATAATTATAGTTTTGCATCACCACAGCCGTGGAGCTCACCATGCCCTATTTGCAATGGAAAACATGAGAATTATGGATTACATAGCGAATGGTACCACGAAAATGGAAATCAGCTTCCTTATAATCCCGAATTAGCGAAGTTGTATTTCCAAGATAAGTTGGAATATTGTTTTACCTGCAACACTTCAAGTAATAAACTCAAGTTCATGATCATAGCATAGGCCCAGTATTAATACGCGATTGTGTAAATGTTAAAGGGGCTTATACTGGAATCCCAATAGTAACTGTAAGAGTATAGATTAATAAAGTTAACTCAATAGTCTCTACTAATTAATAATCGCAAATAATATTGTAAAAATCGCATAAAAATAAAAAAAAATAGGAGCCAGCGAGCCCCTCCCTTTATTATTATAAAAAATTATATTGCAGGGACAACAATATATAAATAAAAAATATATATATCGCTGTTACAGGTGCGAATACAAATAAAAAAAAGTTTAATGGTCTTTTACAAGAAAATCCACAAATTTTTTTTCCATTTACACATGCTCTCTCTGTGCTTTAAATTTAAAAATTTTATCACCATCTATATACAACTCATAGCTATTTATCCAAGTTATAAGATAGCTTTTTTGACCCTTAACTTCCACAGATGTTATTTCATTTTCAGTCGCCTTATTTATAAATTTCACTTTCTCTATAGTGTCAATTGGACTTTCATTTTCATCTATAAGAATAACCCTTGCGCATCTTCGTTTAACTCTTCGACCTTTACTTGGATGTTATCATGACCAGTATCAAAGACTCCTGTCTCTCCTAACTTATATAAAAAAATATTTGTGGACATTACGACTGTTAATAAAAACAAGGCTATTAATACATGAACTTGTGATAGTGTTTTCTGACTAGCTCTGCTAAAACAGTAAAAAAACATTATCTTAGAACTAAATTGCCAGTAACTTATATTAAACTTTTTTTCAAAAAATATATACAAGCAAAAAATAACGTTATTGCTAACTTATCTTATAGGCGAAGAACTTGCTTATTTTTATACCATCCATTCACCTTATTTTTATACCATCTATTCACTAAATCTAAAAAACTTTGCTAGAAAAAAAAAGTTACATAATTGGTAATTGCATTACCCAAGTCTAATGCTATTTCTTTTTCCTTCATAAAGCAACTCCACTCAGTCATAACTTCCAAACACTGAATCTATTCTATTATTTTTTCTGGTGAAATTAACCCCTTATAATCGATGATTGTTTAAAGTGGGTTTAGATCTGACGATCTCGGAGATGGCAGAGATTCGAAGTCCTGTAATATATAAATTTTGATAAAACTACTGATTAAGAATGTTATACTCATTGCCCTTATAGCCTTTTTAAGTCCCATTCTTATCGCGGGATCATATATAAGGTAAGAAAGATTCTAGTCGCTATTTATTATTAGCGTTACTTATTAACTTAATAAAAAATTAACTGTAAGAAATAATTCTGCAAAGAATTATCACAAAACCTTATACATACCCAATTTTGTGTGACTAATGTCAGTATTAAAATTTTTTATTGAAAATGAACTTTATTTTTTAACTTTCAAATTTATATGTGGCTATGTTAAAATAACGCATATATTAGTTTCTCGAATATCCAAATCTGGAAATCATGTGTTGACTGAACATACCAGGAACGGAGTACGTATCATATGAAATTTATCTTATATGTATAATTATCATAGCGCTAATATCAGGAATAGCCTGTTTATAACTCTATATGATCAAGTTATTATGTTAATAAGCAAGTTATGATAGTTACATACAGTATAATATGTTGATTGTAATGTAAATCAAATATCGCACTAAAATTTTGTTCATTCTCGAAACTGATTCTGAACCATGCTTAATCTTAAAAGTGCTTAAATCATCTAATCAAGTTTACTCATAAATTTATGTTCTTCGCCTTTTCGTGTCACAAAACCTTATATCTAATTTTATGCAACTTGTTACTGTCTGACTATACTAATATAAAAAATAAAGCAATATTTATAGGATAAAATTGTCGTAATTGTCATGCGGGTTCACAATGAAGGAATTCTTTACTGTTAAACTAGCTCAAATAGCGACACTCAGGGATTCTGCTTATGCAAATCAACCCTTAATCATCCATCTATACTTACCACGAAGCCAAAGAATCATGAGGCTAGTCACGTCTTACTTTAGTACCAAAGAAAGTATTGTTTTTTTATTATTCTAATTTTCACAAACTAAGAAAGAACTCCCCTTAGCTTACTAAATTCTTTATTCTATTTATACAGAATTTTGGCTCTATTAGACTACAAATTGATGACTATATATTTAATGCGCAAGTTATAATAAGCTTTACATCATGATGCACATTATGCAAGATTTACAAATTAACTATTTATCATTACCCGATTTATACTAATTATCCATCCAATCATAACTGCTCACGTAAATTACGTACTATATCAATTGTATTGTAAGTTATCGATCTCTCGAACGTAGTACATAGGATATCATTCGTCACCACAACAGTAATACAACATAAATTTGAATTAGTAGATATGCGGGGTCTCATAAAGACCATTTTAGAAAAAAAATAACAACTGCATAAAGTTATATCGATATATGCTGTATATGGTGATTAACTATTAATATTTATGGCTTATCTTATTTTCATGTGCATATATGTTTATGATTTTAATGATGCAAACCAGTCCCACAGCATTATTTTTATACGTGTTAAAATATAACTACAACATGTACGTACTTGCGATGTCAAATTATTTTCAACTGAATATAGCATGATTCCATAGCCACATAATATTAATATAAAATCCTTTTAGAGCAATTTTTTTACTGATATTTCACCTTTTCATACTAGGTTGTTTTTGTGTTGATAAGATGATTGCCAGAACTATTTGTGTGAGTATGCTTAGTCAAGCAAAAAATTTCATTTTTACTATTAAAGCAATAGGGCCTCTGACTATGTGTATTGTGATGTTTAATATACTTATAATTACCGTTTGGTAGCTCAGTACTTTGGTGAAGGTAGTTGTTTGTTCCGCAAAAATACACAATCTAGTCACCCTTAATCATATAGTTTTCTCAGATATAGTTATAGCCTTTCAAGGCAGGCCTAGGATTTGACTATTACCTCTTTGCAATTTATTTTTTTTTATACTTATAAAAACCCAATTTTAGAGGGCATGATCATCAGTTATAATTGTCTTTGTAGCGAAGAGAAGAAGACCTGATGAGCTTTCTGCAGTTTAGTCTACTAAGCTACGAGATAAGAAATAGCTTTGAATGTATCTACCTTGAAATTTGCAAAAGTACATAACCTATTGCTACATTATTATTTACTATCTAATCTGAAAATTTTATAATATGCTAGATGAATTGGGTAAATAATACATTTTTATTTTCTTGCACAAGATTATATTGCATTGATAGATCGGCCACCCAGGTTACTTGTTATAGATATATATAGTAATACAAAAAATTTCACTTGAGTCTTCACCTCTTGACGATAGGGTCTCTAGCTATGTATATTGTGTATTCGAAAGGGCATAATCATCATTGCTGGTGGCCCAGTATTTTGACTTGGGTGGTTTCTTCAGTCTGCAAAAATAATCAATTAGGTAATTCGATTGGACCACATAAAATATAATTTTAATCGTATTTTTTTATTTTTTACGAGATTTTTTCTATATAAATTGCAAAGATACTACTCCAATCAAGAAAGATCCACAAACCCATGTAGGTTACAAATATAAATCCAGTATGTTCGTAATAGAATAAAAATGAATTCTGCATTATTATAGTATAAGTTAATAAAGAATTGCTATAAATAGCTAAAAATGTTAAGAATTACTAAAATCGGCTATAAACTATTTATAATCATAAAATGGTTAAAACTAACTTCTATTCTGGTTTAAATTCTGTAGTAATGCAGACACTAAATGATTTGCAATATAGGTATAGTAATGAAACGCCTGAAATGTGGTGTTCACGTATTTGTTATCCATTTAGAACACTTTTAGAAAATAACCCAAAATACTTCTCCAAGAACAGATTTATCCAAATGATTGAAAGATCTAGAGATAGAGGATTTATGGTTGAGAAGTATTCATTTTATATTTATTGTACTGTATGTGACACTTTGGTATTTATCCGCGAAAATACTATCAAATATGCTAGTAATCATCTGAAGAAATACATTACTGAAAAACCCCTTGCATATTCTAAACCTGTATAGAAAAATGTGAAAAATGGAGGAGTGCCAAGCCGAAAGAGTGTATTATTGCTTAGTCCCGATGAGATTGAAAAAATT